GGCCTTTGAAAGACAAGCCGCTCAAAATAATCCTTCACGTTTTCCGAATTCCTTTTTTCGAGGAAAGTTTTCTTTCGAATTAACCTTGGTAGTTTACTGATGTCATAAGACAGACTCTCACGATTGACTTTTTGCTGCGCTTTATCTCTGGTTTTATGCGCCCAATAAAGACAAAAATGCCACCGTTCGATTCAGCGTAAGAAGTTATACTTACGGATGTCAAAAGTATTACTAAACAACAGTATTCTAGCGATTTATGGCCTGTGAAAGTCAAGCGAAATTGTTTGTTGACAAATGGCTCAAAATTATTAAATTAAACTAATTAAAAATGCAGTCCGTTTGATCCTTCATAACTTCGGTATTGTTGGTTTTCTTATTTTCGGCCTTACACCAATGGATTCGTCTTACTTTTCGCTTCATTTTGATCCTAACGTACGGACCAACTGGCGGACGACAGGAAAATGTAGCGTGCTAAATATAAGGCAAAATATAAGGCGGAAACGCCGGAAGTTTTATTTGTATAAAGGCGGGCACCGCATTTTAGTACTGTGTCTAGTTCCGTATGTTGTTCTGTGAATCACGTATGCTGTTCTGCTAATACGTATGCTGTTCTGCTAATTCCGTATGCTGTTCTATGAATTACCTATGCTGTTCTATGAATTACGTATGCTGTTCTGCTAATACGTATGCTGCGGTTCTGCTAATTGCGGTGCCGTAATTACTGGTTTTATGCGTCAAACAAGGACAAAAATACCACTGTTCGAATCAGCGTGAAAAGTTGTATTTACGGATGGAAAATAGATTTCAAAATTGACTTCTATTCTAGCGATTTGTGGCCTTTGAAAGACAAGTCGCTCAAAATAATCCTTCACATTTTCCGAATTCGGCGTTTTTGGCCGTGTAATTCGCAGAACAGCATACGTCTATTCGCATAACAGCACACGTAATTCGCAGAACAGCATACGGATTAGCAGCATGCTGCTCCATTTACTGTTCTAGAACATTTGGAACACTGTTCTGGAACGATATAAAATGGAGTGCACACGATGTTCTGGAACAGTGTTTAGTTTATTATATATGCGTGCAACCATGCATTACAATACTCATTAGTACCAGTACGTTATTCGCACAATAAATCGTATAATAACTTGCCTTTATTTGTATATCTAAGTAGGATTGAACAATGTTTTGCTGCCCACGTTGTTCACACTTGTCAACAATATTGAACAATGCTGTTGAGCCTGAATCGAGTGTAACAGTATTATTCAATATTAAGTTCTTTGAATGTTTGCATGGCGACAAACGCAATGTTGGTCCGTATGCTGACGTATGCTCATATTATTAGCACTGATGAAGATCCGGGCTTACGGATCGAAAGCTTTGCAGTAATAAATTTACGTGGTGTTTCCACAAACAAAAACAATTTTATTCAATATTGTTGACAACTGTGAACAATGTGGGCAGCAAAACATTGTTCGATCCTGTTTTCATCAACATTGCAACAACCTGAGCGTTTTTACGCGTGTACGTGTCCTGTTATGCGAATATGACGTTGCTGTTCTGCGAATTACGTGTGCTGTTATGCGAATTCCGTACGCATGCTATTATGACTTGGTGGTCTGGGATACAACGGTACGTCAACTAATTAATTATTTGGTGGAAATTGACGAGTCTCACTGGTCTTATGACATCAGTAAACTACCAAACACGTTATGCTGCCAAATCTCAATACAAATCTATATACAGTACTTGCCAGTATGGCAGAGGACCAATAACTATAGTATAGAGGAAGGCGAGACAGGCGATCAGTAATAATGCTTACATTCGATACAGTGGAACTTATTAACGTGATCCACTTCATAATTCAATTGAAGAAAGTAGGTTTTGAGCTTCTTTTTATAGGAATTAATTGAGTGATTTTCAATATATTTTGCATGGTATTCGCAAAACAGCATACGGATTAGCAGAACATGCAGCATACGGATTAGCATAACCTACGGATTAGCAGAACAGCACACGTAATTCGCAGAACAGCATACGGAATTCGCAGAACAGCATACGGAATTAGCAGAACAGTAGTTTGTAGTTTTCTCTGATAAGCGCTACGGAGGCTAGCAGAGCAGCATCGAGAGTAGCATAATTGAACACGGAAATAGCAGAACGGGGTCGCAAAAATTAAATTCGAGGATGCATTGTGACCCTAACCACCCCCCATAATAAACGTACCTTTATTCGGTGAACTAGCCAAAATAAAAACTGTTTCGCCGTCACTGCCACTAGATACAACGGACGAAAGCAAGTGAATCAGTTCAGCACCTCGAAACAGCGTAAACGGTACAAATAACACACTCACCAAAACTCACCGTATTTACTCTTTAACTTGTCAATTTGTGCTTTTATATATTCTGTGGTCACGGCCCACGAGAAACAGAGAGGAACGCGGACTATGACAGGACAGGTTTTATATTTATTACAGAGTATCCGTGCAGACCGTAGCAGACGTGACCTATATTTGAAATTTGTGACGTCACGAATACAACGAATATAGTCAATATAAAATGTATATATTCTCACTTGGATTACAAACCCTAACATCCTAATTAATTCCACCAAGTGAAGTGCAAGAACTAAGTTATTCAAGTCCACCTTATCACAACCCGCATACCCGATTACCTATATATACATGAACTTACGGTTACAGCTCAACAGCTGGCCTCTGTAGCTCAGTTGGTTAGAGCGCTGCACCGGAATCGCAGGGCCGTAGGTTCAATTCCTACCAGAGGACCTTGTGCTGCATTTTTCAAAGTCGTTCCTGGTTAGGTCTTAAAATGTATAATATATTCTCACTTGGATTACAAACCCTAACATCCTAATATAGTAACGTTTTACTAGTGTGTTTTTCTTCATTTTTCCGCATTCAAGTCAACCTTCAAGTAGCTATATTGAGATTCAAAATGGTTTAATTGTCTTTTAAACCTGGCGGCAAAAGTGTTGACGGTAAATATTGTTGTTTTTTAGGTGTAAATGAAGAAATTGGCGTCACAAAAACTGCTGTTGACAATTGACATAATTATTTGTGGCATGTGCTAAAACCTGGACGATGGACGATTTTTATTTACAATCAAAACACTAAAACCCGCACACTTCCGCTCTTGTACCTTGTTGTCATTTTATATTGTATATTTCGTTGTGTATTAATAATAATACTAATATTGCAATACTTGTAACAAAAAAGGCTTTTCCGTAAGATTCACTGCATAGGTAGCAAAATTTAATTTTTATTATTGGTAACGCATAATTTGGTAGCCGCTAAAGTAATACAAAACAAAATATAGTAAATGCAACAAAATCATAACCTATTGCTTTATTATTAACTATCATTAGTATTGTTACTCATTGATAGGACGTATAATCCGCACTGATTGGAAGTAAATTTGAACTTTGATTTGAACTTGAGCAATAATTACGATAATCAATAGGCCGCGATAAAAGTACAATGTTGAGACTGATTGTAACATTTACATTGATTACAGAGCATTGATTATAGAAGTAATTTGTATAATTTCTATTGACAGCTACACCTCGGAAATGCTCACAAACCTAACTCATTCCCATCATCCAACGCGAGCGACTGGGAACGAGTCAGGTAAAGAACTGTCAATCATATGAGGCCGCGTTTACACTATGATGCTACGGCTAAGGCCCGGTTTAGACGCCGTGCTTTTCATGAGCCGAACTTAATTCATATTTTACTCGAGTAAAATAGGCGTACTTCCAATTTTGATTTAGACAGGCGTGCTTTTCATGAGCCGTACTTAATAATTTGCGCTGCTTCACTTCGAAACCTGGGGCGAGTGACATTTCATAATAAGAATAAAAAGGTTTATCACATACAATCTTGGCATTTCTGAGCGTCTACAGGTTTATTTTATTTTATTTTATTTTATTTTATTTTATTTTATTTTATTTTATTTTATTTTACAATCTTTGTCACATGACCGGTTTAACCCACAGAGCTAGTTGCTCCTTTACGGGTAACCTGCTAATGCAATACTGAAATATAGGTTAACACAGTGGATATATAGCTTCAAAATCGCTAATCACTGAGACGTTAGATTTAATGTGGTCCTGAGCAACTCTAGTCATGTGGATCGAAAAAGAAAAGGAATTTAATTTAAATTTCACATGCTCACTAAAAAGTGATATTTCCACTGGATTAACAGCAACTAATGACAACACAGTTTGACAGAAAGACTGGACATGGGACGACACAAATGACACTTTACACACACTGTTTTAAACGTTTGTGGAACATCAATGTCGTAGACCTCTTCAACAAGCTTTTGGTAATATTTAAATAGGCCGCATTTAAATTGACTGACTGAGAGATTTGACTGCCGTAAGTGTGATGGTAAACAGTTAAAAGTCCTGGGTGATCTGCAGTAATAACTGTTCTGAAATGTTGAAGTGTTTACTCTAGGAACTTGTAATATAATTTTTGCTGTTCCATCATTTTCTCTCGTCAACCGATCTGTTGTCTTTACATGGATATTATGGTCATTAGATAGAACTAACGCTTTGTAAAGGTAGACCATATCCAGGAATTCATGCCAGTATGTTAATGGTAGTAAACCACTTTTGACAAGTCTATCTTTGTATGATACTCCTGACAAGAATGGCAGTGATAAAATGTATCTGGTGGCGCGACGTTGGACGTTTTCTACTTGAAGGATAAGTGATACGGACTGTGGTGACCAAATTTGCGTGCAATATGCCATCTGGCTTCGCACCATTGTCTTGTAAAGCGCAAGGCGGGTTTTCTCGTTGCGAATGTCCATTGATGATCTTTTAATGAAGCCGAGCATTTTGTTTGCTTTAGCACATACCATGGACACGTGCTGGTTCCATTTCAAATCGGATGTGATGATCACTCCAAGATCTTTCTGGGCATTGGTTCTCTTGATGGGAGTGTCGTACTTAAGGTGGTAGCTCGACGGCACTAGCTTCAGATTTCTGGTCACCGAAAGAACTTCACATTTCGATTGATTCAGATCCATCCGCCACAATTCACACCAATTGTTAATACCATCAAGATCTTTTTGAAGATATTGTTCATCCTTATGTGATCTAACTGGACGATAGCATTTAGTATCATCAGCATACAAAGCAATAGACGATGTAGATGTTTCCTGCGGAAGATCGTTCACGTAAATAACAAACAGTAAAGGACCAAGTATTGAACCTTGCGGCACGCCAGAAAGTACTGGGAGAGAATGTGAAGTTTTGCCAAGGACAGTTACTCTTTGGTGACGATTGGTTAAGTAGTCTTCAAACCATTTCAACAAAGTCCCACCAATCCCGAATTTCTTTAACTTTCTTACAAGTAAACGATGATCAACTCTATCAAAAGCCTTCGCAAAGTCAAGGTAGATGATGTCGGTTTGGACTCTCTTGTCGAGCTATTATTAGGTTTGCGGTTATTAAAAATTTCAAATGCTTTTTGAAAAGCCTTATTACTACAAACATAGCGTAATGCCTGGATATAATGTGTGGGAAAACGAGACCTATAGGCTTAGGGCACTGGCGTAGCCAGCTCGATAAGTGGGGGAAGGGGCATATTCATATATTCGTATTCACAGATCGTAAAAACAATCAATTTCAAAAGAAACTAATAATGCAGAACACGAATATATGAATATGCCCCCCCCCCAATTATCGAGCTGGCTACGCCACTGGCTTAGGGCGAGATTTTTCACGTTATTCGAGTTCTCTCAAACTACTACAAGTGTTTCTATAATTGTATGGGTCACACATACTAAATGTTTTATATTTATTTCATAATATAACTAAAAAAAATTTGTAGTAGACTCGATGTATTTACAAATTCTCATTGGCATAGTACAAAACATGGACTGGACTGGACAGTTGGACTGGACTGGACAGTTGGACTGGACAGTTGGACTGGACTGGACAGTTGGACTGGACAGTTGGACTGGACTGATTTTTGCATTTTCTCTATTCTTGACTTGCATGTCAGCCGCCATGTTGAAGTGGCATGGCACAAAAGAATATTTTATCACAGAATAAATATACCATGTCATGTCTATTTTGTGATTTTATCGATGAACATTGTCTGGTGTGTACCAGGACGAGATTGGTTGCAAGTCAAGAATATGACGTTTTGCACCTGAATTACTTTTGATTTTCGGAAATTGAAATACTTTACC